ATGCTAATGATGTTATATTCATTGAATTAATATGATTATCATCTGATGATGATGATTGAAGTAATGGTTCATATTCATTATTTATTTCTTGTATTGATGATGAATAAATTTGTAATAAATGAGATTTTTCAATATAAATAAATGTTAATAAATTTGATATAATAACAAATATAGCAAGAAGAAAATAAATAGCTGCTGAAATCGATATATCATTAGAAAATAATATTGATGCTATGGAACATAATACAACGAATACACCACCAAGTGCTTGACCAGCAACAAATCCTAAAATGAAAAAAAAAAAATTTTTTTTCTCAAATACGAACTAAAATGAATGTTAAAGTATAGCGGTAAAAATTTGGAGCCACATTCTTTCATAGGCTATATTTGAAGTACTTTCTTATTGCATTTCTGAAGAATTGAATTAAATGATAGTGAAGAAATGTGTCCTTAATTAGATATAATAAAACAATCTCCTTGTGATTATTAGAGTCTGTCGGATTCAAAGTTTTCTAAACCAATCCGATGGACTCTAGTGATTAGCAACAACACCTTTATTATGTTTCATATTTTAATTCCGCTAGGATTATGCTAGCGGCTTTTCTTTTATTCATTCATTATGGCTATAATTTATTCTTGTTTAACATATTTATACAGCTAGCGATTTATGTAGACTAATCGGTTTTCTTAAGTTTAATAGTGTCTTTTGTATTTTTACAGCCCATAGGGATTTCAGATTAATAAAATAGAATAATATACGAAATTATTCCTAGTTTATAATGAAATTAAAAAGAGTCTAGAGGAAATTTGATTACAGCAAAAAAAAACATCGAAGTAAACTATATTTATCTGTTATATTGAATAGAAGCCACAATAACCACGCGAAGGACTGTACATTGAGCGGGATAGTTGTAAAAGAGTATTTGCGAGAATATTTCACACAAACAAGCGTACAATGCAGACAAAATCTGTTCTTGTCTCTAGAGAAAATTGAACATTTTTTATTATTTTCTCGTACACGCACGCTAGCCAATTATCAATTTCAGTTTCTTTGAAGTATCAAAATTTGATCCGATATTATGTTTATACGACTGTATTGAGTCTGACTAATACATTTCAGATGAACTTATTAGGATCAATATAATTCAAATAGTTCTTCAAAAATTCACGTTTTGCTTTTTTTGCTTATTATCTTTAGTTTTTTGTGAATTATAATTTATTTAGCTAATGTAAAGCAGCATATTTCTACTTTAAATGAAGATATTTCTTAACATTGTTTGTCTTCTTCTAATTTGAAATTCAATATACTTAATATTAGTTTACTCTTCTATATAGAATAATCAAGATAGATATCATGTAATCTTACAACATAAAAGGATTATTTTACAAGTTTATCTTGTAAATCATAAAGCAATATAATCTTATTCATTTTTATCGATAGAATACACAAAGCATAGCTAAACAAATCCAATACTTACATAGATAAATCAAAAAAACAAACTCCTCCATAAATTATCACTTTTTATGCAACTATCTTGTCTAAATAGATTGTAAAAAGAAAAAAAACTTCTGTTTTAATCGATAAAGCATATTAAACTAAATTCTATCAAATCAAAACTAGATTATAATATATTACCTTGTATATATTGACTAGGTAATGTTGATGCTAATGAAAAGAAGCAATTAAGTAAAATAGCACAAAAAACACCTTGAATCATAACAAGTATCATAGTTACAATAAAGAATATTTCACGCCATTGACTAACATTAACAAAAATAAGTGCAAAACATATCAATAAACATATTGCTATACCACTTAATGATGTATATATTCGATATTTATGAATATATGGTACACAAATAAATGTAACTAAAATTGTTGCAATTAAATTAGGTACAGATGCACAGAGCATAACAGCATTTTCATATGATAATTCAAGACGTGATACTGATGAATTCGATATTTTTGAATCATGTAATTTATAACGAAAATATGGATCAGCTGTT